GTGTATTCTTGCCACCTCTTCTTAATATCTTCTGTTTCTGTTAAGTCCATACCATTTCTGTCCTTTATTGAGCCTATTTTTGCATGAAATGTTCCCTTTAGTATCAAACAATTTCATTCTCTGATTCTGAGTTCAAAGATCCTAGAGATGAGCTCATATTATCAAAGCTTGGATGAAGGATCCAGCCTTGAGTGACTTAGCCATGGCCAGATAGCTGAAATAAAAAGAATCAGGGCTGTCTTATGGTGATGTCATTGGATGTTTACTCAACAGCCTTTCTTTTTTCTACTTTCAAGTCAAACTTTAATTTGTTCAGATGTCTACTTTCCTTTGCCACAGCTCTGTCCTTGAGGACTGGTGATTCCAAGCTCAAGCTCCTGCTGTTGAATCACAACTGATAGAAGAAAATCCATTGCAGATACTACTTTAGGAATGAACATATAATCCAGTTCTGGCCAAAGAGATGCAAGGGACCCTGCTGAGGGGTTTCTTAGATTGGTTTTCCTAACTGATAAAAACAAACTTATGGACTTGTGGGATCATAAAAGCAAACAAACAAAATATCTCTAGTTAGTGCAAGAAACAATAGCTAAAAACAGAATAAAATTATTTCTTGAAATGACCTTGTTCATATGAAAGTTGGCTTTTGCTTTTAATTTGATGACGATTTAAATAAATTGTTGATATCTCTTTTATAAATGATTAGTCACTTTGTCTTTATCTTGAAGTACCCACATATCACGTGTTTCATTTTAAATTTGTATAAGAAAAATGAAATGATGGCTCTGTATGATTGGCATTATTCATATCTCTGTGACCCCACCCTCAACTTTCCTCTTAGTAGAGTCTGGTACTGTTTTTGTGTTTTCCCATAGACAAATGCTGGATAGTTTTATTTTTGGCTTTTATAGAACATTATAACCCATGTGTAACTTTCCTCCAAAAGTTAATAATTTGAACACACTGATTCAAATGATCATTATAACTGGACTATTTCATTTTTTTTAATTTTTAAAATTTATTTATTGGCTGCACTGCACAGCATGTGGGATATTAGTTCGCTGACAAGGGATTGATCCCATGCCCCCTGCATTGGAAGACAGAGTCTTAAACACTGGACCATCAAGGATGTCCATAGCTGTAGTATTTTAATGTGTCTCTATTTCATTTTTGTATATAATAGTTCCACTATGTTTCTTTTTTCATAATTGATTTAAGGAAGATAATTGAGAATGAACATGATAGTATCAAAGAATAATTTTTCAAGAATATTAAAGAACATGGATATTATACAAATAAAGAATAAATACATGTCAAAGATTTGTTTATCTCATCAGTAAGGGAAGAAGGTTGGTAAACTGCTACAAAAGACATTTGAGGAACTGAGCATTGCTATATATTGAATAAAAAGTGTTGAATTTCTAGGTTAAATACAAACCTGGATAAATCCTACAGGGCATTAAAACCATATCTTTTGGTTATAATTTCAACCAGAGAGAAATTATTTGTATCTCTAGAAGACAAAATCCAGAAGGTAAATGTAACATTATAGAGTTTGGATTCTGATTGGTAATAAAAAGTATGTTAAAGAAAGTTCATTGCTCTAGAGATTTCAATAACTCTTAAGTGAATCTGTTAGACAATGTTCCAGTGAGACATTGAAAGCACATGTTATCACCCCTCTACCTCATTTATAAGATTTTTATGTTGTTTCTTAACAGCAATGATGATAACATGTTGTTATGAAGATTAAATAAAATAATATACATGAAAGTGCTTTATACCGTAAAGTATCACAAAATGCAAAATGATATTTTTGTAAGTTATTACTATAATTGTGCAATATTCCAAAGGCAAGCTTGACATAAAAGAGTCAAGTAAGTTAGACTGTCAGTTTTCTCTTTTTTTAAGATCCTAAAAGAAAAACACTGGGGCATGCAATTGCGTGATGAAAATGACTCTGTGTCAGTTGGAATGTGATATGCAGACAAGATGAGAGGGATTGCATATTTTTACCACTCCAGGGAGAAACATTGCAAAATACTATTGTATTCCTTTTCTTGCCCCAGCCTGAAGATAATATTCACAAAAACCTGTGAATGTCCTACTTTATTAATTCAACAAGTACTGTGCTGAGCACTAACAAGGTGCACTGTGTCTCACTGTGAGGAGACCAAGGGGAATAAGATATTCTTTCTCCAAAAGAAGGCAGATTTAGCAGCAGAAACTACATAAAAACAACCAATTGGAACCAAGCGGGAGGGAGAATTACTTTGAGTAATGAAAACATGAAGCTTTGGTCAATTCAACTAGTATTTATTTATCACTTGTAAGTTGGAAGCAAGTTCTTGTCTTTTTTTAAAGAGATTTATTTATTTACTGGCTGTGGTGGGCAGGTCTTCATTGCTGCACATGGGCTTTTTCTGGTTGCTGAGAGTGGAGGTCATTCTTCCTTGCAGTGCATGGGCTTCTCGAGGTGGCTGATCTCGTTGTGGAACACAGCTAGGGTTCCTGGGTTTCAGTAGTTATGACTTCTGGGCTCTAGAGCACAGGCTCGGTAGTTGTGATGCATGGGCTTAGTTGCTCGATGGCATGTGGGATCTTCCCACACTGAAGGCGGATTCTTAACCCCTGGACCACCAGGGAAGCCTAGGATTTCTTGTCTTTTACTGGATACTTTTCTCGCTGAAATGCATATGGAACTCCTTACTACTCTGTCTTTATATTTTACATTTTGTTTCGTCTTTTTTTCCTCTTTGTTCTCATATCTTCGAGCATAAAGTAATTGAAGAAAAATAGTAATTGAAAAAGATTCCTTCTAAAATTTTTTATTTTTTTAAAATGTGTTTAAGAAGTCTAATAAAAATGTTAGCTTATTTAATGCTCAATGTTAAAAAGAAAAATACAGACCTGTGTTTGAAGAACCAAATGGAAATAATTTTATATCTCTAGATTTTTCCAGTGATTCTATAAAATTTCATGAGTGTAATAGTATAAATTCTGGAAAAATAGTAATTTTTTTAACAACCAACCAATAAGTTGTTATTAATATAGTTAAACTAAACCAGGGACATAGCCCACAAGGGCTATTTCAATGAAAACAATGAGAAGAAAGGAAACGATTACTTCTGAATTACAGTGATTACTAAAATTTAAGTTATTCTAACTATCTATTTCCTTTGTGTCTGTGAAAACCCCCTAAATATGCCTTTCCAAATTTTTTGTGGAAAATTATTTAGACTAATACTTAATATTTCATCATAATTCATTCCAGTTTTTCAAGTACAGTTTTGGAAAGGCCAAAAGCTGTCTGGAGGATGGAATGTATCTGTGATATTACTAAACGCCATAAGCTTTAATGAAAGAAAAACTCAAATACTGCATATAGTTTGCTACTGTTTGTTCCAGACAGATGTTTCTGTATTATCACTGTTTGCACAGAAAAATCTTTAGAGCAAACATGTGATTTTATCTTTAGAATTAGGTTCAATCTAATAGCATTCCAAATAGTTCTGATGAAAGGCCTAGATGCTATCTGGGCTGGAATGGTAAAACTGAGAATTCCCATTCATCAATACAATAAGTGAGTTCCATATGCTAACCTGAGATGGTGCCAAGAAATATTATTAAGTGAAAAAATACACCATGGGGGTCATATATACAGCCTGATTCCATTTATAGTCAAACCATGACAGAAGAGTTTACATGTATGTAGTGGTTTTGGAATGGAAACCAAGGTATTCATTTCTCATTACCTGTCTGAGTAGAAGCCTCTTTTTCTTTTTTCAGTGCTTGAATTCAAGGCACTGGAAACAAAAAATTAATTAATTAATATATATAAATACATTGGGGAAGGAGTGTGTCAAGGCTGTATATTGTCACTCTGTTTATTTAACTTCTATGCAGAGTACATCATGCAAAATGCCAGGCTGGAAGAAGCACAAGTTGGAATCAAGATTGCTGGGAAAAATATCAATAACCTCAGATATGCAAATGACACCACCCTTGTGGCAGAAAGAGAAGAGAAACTAAAGAACCTCTTGATGCAGGTGAAAGAGGAGAGTGAAAAAGCTGGCTTGAAACTCATTCAAAAAACCAAGATCATGGCATCCGGTCCCATTACTTCATGGCAAATAGACGAGGAAACAATGGAGACAGTGATAGACTTTATTTTCTTGGGCTCTAAAATCACTGTGGACAGTGACACTTAAAAGACACTTGCTCCTTGGAAGAAAAGCTATAACAAACCTAGACAACATATTAAAAAACAGAGACATTACTTTGTCAACAAATGTCCGTACAGTCAAAGCTATGGTTTTCCCAGTAGTCATGTATGGATGTGAGAGTTGGACCATAAAGAAGGCTGACTGCCAAAGAATTGATGCTTTCAAACTGTGGTGCTGGAGAAGACTCTTGAGAGTTCCTTGGACTGCAAGGAGGAGATCAAACTACTCAATCATAAAGGAAATCAACCATGAATGTTCATTGGAAGGACGGATGCTGAAGCTGAAGCTGAAGCTCCGGTGACTCATTGAAAAAGCCCCTGATGCTTGGAAAGGCAGAAGGAGAAGGAGGTAACAGAGGATGAGATTCCTGGATGGCATCACAGACCCGATGAACATGGATTTGAGCAAACTTTGGGAGACAGTGAAGGACAGGAAGGCCTGGGATGCTGCAGTCCCTGGGGTCACAAAGAGTCCTACATTACTGAGCAACTGACCAGTAACAACATAAATACATATTTTTCATGTGTGTATGTATTCAATAAGTGGATTAAAGGATGAGTGGTTGATAGAGGAAAGGGGATTTTGAATTTGTTTTGAATATGTTTGTGTTTGATTTTTTATGGTGACTACAATCACTTTTAAAATAAAGTAGAAAATCAAGACAAATAATTTAAAAAAGAAGAGATGAGTTGCAAGTACTGACATAGATATATATTTTTTATATGAAAAACAAGTTACAGAATAACATGGTATTATCTTGTTTATATTAGAAAAGGAAAACAAACTGTGCTGAGAGTGATTTTGGAGAGACTCACTTTTTCCTCTACATACTTCTGTGTTGAAGTTTATTCAGTAAGTATATACTTGTATATTATTTGTGTCATTTATGAAAAAACAATTTTTTTTTGCCAAGAATTATCTGTTTTCTTTCTTCCAAAGGATGCGTTTTCAAGGAATGTTTGAGGACCTTTTAAAATATATATTCAGTGATTAAATAGAAAAAAAGGTTTCATTTTGTATAAGAATATCAATATTAATCGCATGAGTCCCTTGTGAACTTTTCTGAAATAATTTTTGATACTTTTTCTTAATCTCTGTAAGAAGTTAAGTCCTTTGTCTCCATATTATATTTTTCCTGCTTAATAGCTCTTGAGTTCTGTTGAACTGTTTGATATCTAAAGCATTCTCTCTTTACTCTTGATAGGGATAGTTTGTGTAATTCACCCTAGCCCATTAATTTTGCTTTCTTATGGATAGGTCGACTCTTTCATAGCGCCTGTACTTGCATTCCTCACATGTCTATTTAGTTTTTGCTTTAAGTTCATGTTTGTGGAACTGCCATCTTTCCTGCTGGTTATGCATACATGAAAGGAGGGATGGCAGCCCAGATCCTAGCAGCTCCTCCTCTTAGTAAAGATGATGTGTGTTGGAAGGAGACAACAGAAGAAGAGCCTCTAGGATTGCATTTTGTCACCTGCCCTCCTCACTCCCAAACTGTACCAAGCCCTGATATTTTCCGGGGACTGCCTCTCCTGCTAGTTACCTAGTAGGGGCTTGGTGATGGGAAACTACTCAGTCCCTCTGCACTAGGCAGCTACTCTATTCTTCCTCCCTAACCGGGGGCCAGTGGTGTTCAGATCAACTACCATGTGCTGCAGGCACTTGCCTGGAACTATTTTCTGTCCACTCAATGTATGGCAGAGGAGGCACAGAGCTGGCCAGTAAAATGTGAAGAGAGGAAAGTCTAGAACTAGAAAGCTTTCTTCTAGGTACTATGTGGTTTGACCCACTCTCTCAGATGGTAAAGCGTCTGTCTGCAATGCTGGAGACCCGGGTTCGATCCCTGGGTCGGGAAGATCCCCTGGAGAAGGAAATGGCAACCCACTTCAATATTCTTGCCTGGAAAATCCCATGGACAGAGGAGCCTGGTAAGCTACAGTCCATGGGGTCGCAAAGATTCAGACACGACTGAGCGAATTTACTTACATTACTCTGATTCTCCAAGGGCTTTCATAGTCTTTGATGTAGTTTCTTTTTTAACTTTGTGGCATCTCCAGGTTTGAATTTAGTGGAAGAAGCAATCATACTTGTTCACGATCTGATCCTAACCACTATACAAAACTCCAGCTTGGAATATACCTTCCCCCACCCCACCCCCCAATCACCTCCCTTACATCTAGCTTAATGCTCCTTATACTTTAATTTCTTTCCTCAAGGAAGCCTGACTCACAGATTAATATATACTTCCTTATACTTGTCTATATAATGTTGACAACTGGGACTGTATTTCTTCACCTGGTCCTCTCCCTAGATGTTACAGTCTATAAAAGCAAGGAGTATCTTTTTTTTCCTATCCTTGAGATCTATCACAGCTCTGGTACAATTGCTGAGATGCCATGAATAATTTTTGAAGGAAAAGTCAAGGGGAGAAAGAACCAAGATCCATTTTCACTAAAGTGGAACATAATGTATATCTATTCAAGAGCAATCTACTTCTGAATTAGTCACATATGTAATATATAAAAAGTATGAAACCACTTCAGTATTCTTTCTTGCCTGGGAAATCCCATGGACAGAGGAGCCCTGGCGGGCTATAGTACGTGTGGTCACAAAAGAGTCGGACACAACTTCATGACTACAAAACAATAAAAATGAAACCACAGACTGGCTTTATCCTGAACGCGAAATAACACTCGGACTTCTCATTTTATTAATATCTTGTTATAGAGCAAAAGTAGATGAGTTTTCTGGAAAAGAAATATATTACAACAGAAAACAAAATGAACTCTTCATTATCCATTGAGGATAAGTGATAAAGTGTTAACTACATATAAAACTATTCCAAATAAGAGTCTGTTCAATTCCCAGGATATTAAGAATTCTTCACTTAAAAGCCTGAAAAACTAGGTGAAATTTTAATAAAAAAATTAAACTTTACTGAAAAAATAACCACAGCAAACCAGTTAAATTAAATAGTAGAGCAATAAAGGGGAAAAAAAGGAAATGTTAGGCTTACCTTCAAAGTCCTCCTTTTAAACACTTTGACAATTAAATAAGTTCTCCTCCCTGTCTGTTTCTAACATACAAATGAATTTCTCAGACTCTTATCTACATGTTTCCTAGACCACATAGTTCAGTGCTAGGTACGTCTGTCAGATTCTCGGATGCTAATAGTTCACAAAGCTTTTTAAACAACAATGTCAGGATGTAAAACAGTGTTACAACCTCAGACTGTTTTCCTTCTGGTACACCAGACTACTGTAGAAGCACGTGGTGCTTGCCTACAACTCTGTAATCCAGTCCTCCCTTTCTAGTACAATAACTTAAACTTGAATACATGAATGATTAAGACATCTGCCTCCCATCTCTCCCTGCCATATCTTTCAAGTTCTCCAGGGTTGTCACCTTCATTTGTGATCCATTAGAAGGTGAAGCCAATTGGTTTACAAGGGAAGCAAACAAGAAACATTATCTACAAAATCTCTGCTTTCTCAGTGTTAAGGTCTTTCACAGTACAGTTTCTATTCAGGGCCAACTTTACTCTTTTTGTCTGTCATTGAGCCAACTTTTTACTCCTTCATGTAAAATGCACACTTATGGAAGTTATCAACTACCAATTAATGGAGTTCCAAGTTCTAGAAAGGAAAATGAAAACAAAGCTTTTGGGGAGGCAAGGCTTATACTGATAACTAGAAATTAAGGGTAATTCATATAACTGGACAGAGCATGACTCAGAAGGCTCAGCACATGACTCATGGGCTTTCACTGAAATAAGGCCAGCAATATGCATAGAAGAGTTCAGTGTATGCAAAAGTAGGCTGAAAAATGTATAAATCCATTATGAGGAGACCAGCATGTTGCAAAGATATATATTATGAGTAGGACTGTCTTATCAAGAAAGGTTCATAGCACCTGTGAAGGAATCAGTGGTTCCAGTGACCCAACACAGAACACATTGTAAAATAGAGGTTCTGTGTTTATTGAGCTTGTCACTATGACTATGAACATTTCCGGTATGAGGAGGAGTTTGGGGAACAAATAAGGCACTGGAAGATCATGAGACATATTAAAAGCAAGTACTTCACAGACCAGTCATCTGTGCCTCTCAGCTCATTCCCAGTCCCTTCCCTGCCAGGGGACTGCCCCAAGTCTTATCGTTTTCATACTCCTTCCCTCCCCTACTTTGCATGTTCTGACAGCTTTGTGGCATAAAAGTCTATTTTCCACCCCTTCTCTTTGTCATGCTATGGACCGTATTGCTTTTTCCCACCCTTGGATTCATTTTCTACCAACACTGCTAGGGATGTTACTAGACATCTGATTTACGCTGGAGCTTTCTCTCCAGCTTGATTTGCTGCTTGTCTGCAACTTCCTCCACCCCTAACCATATACAGGCACACCAAAATTCTTCTATTTTCTGACTATGTGAGGCATGTTAACCTCTCAGCCAGAATCAGTAGTGGATTTGTTATAGATCTTACAGATAGGACCTACTGGGAGAGGAAATGAACTGAAGGACATTGATCCTAGGTAAATGGGAGATAGTGTGTAGATTCAGAGATCTGAAAACTGTTGAATACAATCATTGGACATTGAAGTAAACAAGAGAAGTGGTTTTCTTCTCTTTTTTAAAACAGAAGTGTGTTAAATGAGTGAGGTAATAACAAGGCCACACAGAGGATGGCACTAGAAAGTGAGAGGGAAATTAATACTATAGAAGATTATAAGAACACTGGTCTGAATTCTTGGTATAATACAAAAACAGAAGACAAAAGATAAATGGTCACTTTTAGTTCATGTTTCTTCCTCCAATTAATTGTAGTATATCTGTGACATGGCAGATCATATAATGTATATCCATACACTTGTTTCATAAATACATTTCATATTTATACCTTGAACGTTTTGAAAAAGACATACACAGAACTGGGAGCCTTAGGGTCACCAGAGTGGTGAACGGACTATTGAGGGTCAAGATGGGGTGAGACTTTTCACCCCATCTATATGTTATTTCCCATTTACCTAGGTAGTAAAAAGAGTCTACTACCAACTGCTTATAAACTACTCATTCACATTTAGCTCCTTTATTTTAAAGAAGAAAACAAGACCCAGAACAAGGGTAAAAGGAGGTTGCTCAGTATTCTGCAGACAGAACCAGAGTTGCTCAGCAGTTCAGGGCAAAGTCTATAATAGCAGAAAAAAGCAAACTTACGTAACTGAATATTATGAAGATATCATTTATGGAAACAAAACCAAAATTGATAGTATATTTTAATTTCATGCTACCCTTCATGGTCTGATGCAAAATATTCTGAAAATGTTGCCATCTCTCATTTTTGAAGATGATAGTTATTTCTTCATTGTGTTTCATTGTCTTGAGTGGTTTTCTTCAACAGTGGTGATGGAAGTTTTTCTCTCACAGGTTTTCCTTTGATATTTTTTATTTATTAAAGAGTTGGGAAAAAAACCCTACCCATTGGAGCATACATACTAGAGGGTGGAAACATAAATAAATTTAAAAAAATACATAATATGGCAGATGATGATAAATACTGTGGGAAATCATAAAATAGGAAGGAGGATAAGGGATATAGTTTTAACACAAATAATTTATCAATTTATGTATTTGAATAATATTTAAAGTCTCATGGGCACAATGACTAAGGAGTGGCTTCTTTTCTGTGGAAAGGGCAGGAAAGATCTTGGGTAGAAAATACTGGACCAAGATCTTAAAGGATAAGTGGAAATTTGCTAAAGGACAAGAAGCGTGAGAGCTAAATCTTGGGAGAATGTTCTAGGACAGATTAATAGTGAGAATGAATGATTCCCAAGCTCTACTAAAAGGATTTTGG